CAGCAGAAGCAGGGGGAGCTCAAGATTAAGCAGCACCTGCTGACCAACAGGATCCCCAGCAGCCACCTCATCACCAACAGGACGCCCAAGGTGCTCCCCGTCCTCCCTAGTGAGCAACCAAAGGAGGGGAAGAAGGTCAAGAATGGCACCAAGGTACAGGAGATCTTGCGACCTTCCTGAACACCACCATCGTGTGTTGCTGCTCTGCTTGTGATGCCTTCTTGGACACATTATATTTTCTTAGGTGTCACTTTTCATTACATTTCCCAGTGTAAATTCTTTTTTTTCCAGATGATAATAATGTTTTGGGCTTGTGTGTTTCACCATAACTGGCTATATTTTCCATGCTTGCAGACTATGTTTGTTCTTCTGCCCTGGAACCTGTATCTTTCAGAAACTCATTCACATTGTGTGTGGTTTTTTTTTGGTTTTTTTTCAATTTGTTTTTTTTTTCAGCTGCAGTTAAATGAAAATTGTTTCTTTGTCCCTTGTGTAGGTACTCAATATTCTGTGCTCAGCACTGTTAGCTATTGGTTAACAATGCTAGAGGTCTCCTTGAGTAAGATCTCACTACACTAGATACTACACAGCTACAAATGTAGAACTTATATTCCTTTACCTCTCTCTACTGTTATGTTTGTTAAATACTTTGCTTTGGGACTTATGACACTTTTCCTTTTAGAAATAGTTCTGTCACCCTTTCTTCCTTTTAGAAATAGTATTAGAGTCATATCGCATTGCTAATGTGTTTGTGTTCTGCACAATAATGAGATTATCTCTCTAAAAATGGTATTGTATCTATATCTTAAAAGTATAAATATATATCTTCCTTTACGCCACCTTTTTCTCTCTCTCACTTGACAGGATGGCATCCCAATGGAATCTGAGCGACTGATCCACGTCACCGCTCGTCCCCCCAAGGTCCACAAAGTGAACAAGAACCACCACAAGTCTTCACAGGCCACAGCCGCAGTCACCCCTTCCCCCTTCTCACACTCAAGCAGCCCTGCTGCTAAGCCTAAGGCCCACAAGCCTCCCAAAAAATACAGCCCCAAGAAGCACGGCTGGAAGAAATCCCTGCGCAAGGAGAAGGGCAAGGACAAGTCTAAGGACAAGGCCAAGGAGAAGAGGGAGAGGCGAGAAAAGAGGAACAAGGCACTCCACCGCGCCGTCGTTGCTAGGAAGCTGTGAATCAACAGCCGCAGATCCAAACACAAACAAAGGAGAATGAAGTCCTTGATGCACAAACAAAGAAATTCCTCGCTCTCTCAACAGATGAGGAAATGAGTGAAACAAATGCTAGACTAACAAATCCTAAAAGATCCTTCGCTCTTTTCAATCTTGTGAGCATGAATAGAATAAGAAAAATAGATGCCTTTTAGAGGTATCAGTGTTTTCTTTAGTATAGTCATGGTAAATATATCAATGTATGTTTAATTGTTTCACCATAAATGTATGATATTAAGTGAGAACTCCCAGGATGTATTATCACAGAAACCAAACAGCAATCACCATGACTTTACAATACTGTAAGTGCTACATGAATAATTCTCTTGCTCAATTCTCCTTTGAACTAAATCTAAAAATAATCTTATTACATAGATTGATCATCTGTGTGAAGGAATAACAACATATATATGTGACTAAAGAAACAAGTATCAAAAACATAAGATAATTATTCAACAAAATAATAACATGATTGATGCACATGTGACAGGACCAAATTTGAGAGCAGGATTCCAAAAAAGCATGAATTTCTAATGACTTCAAGATAACTTTTATTTACCTCCTTAAGGGGCAATATGTATATAATCTAGCGCTTTGATCAATTCCTTTGTAATGAACACCTTTCAAATTGTGCAACCTGCTTAATGAGTCACTTTCTTAAGTCACCATCTCCTTGGTCATTTTACTGTCATGCATAGCTGTAGTAAAAGGCAAGTAAAAAAAATAAATTAATTAAATTAAACGACGTACCTTTAAAACAAATGTTCTTTACGAGGTTCCGGGCAATAGGGAAATGATAAGGAGTTGATCTCTTCCTTGAGTGAACAGAGTTAGATGTAGGATAGCAAAAGGTCTATGGTCCCAGAATATCTTCAGGAGAAATTGGCACAATTTCTTTTTTCCCTTTGATGTTTCTGACATGGATAAGTTTTGTGAGAGGTTATCCTTCCTTTATCTTTTGTTAGCTAGTAACTGAGATATCCTTCCATTCACTGGATTATGATCAACAGATGTACACTCTAGAATAATTATGGAAAAAAAACATTCCAACACTGTGAGGGCAAAAGACACACAAACAAAGAAGAAAAATCCTCTTGCTCTTCACACATTCCTTGTGAACTTGTAAGCTTCTACATATACTATAATAAGTAAAAACAGATAGAAACTTTCAGAATGAAAACAACCTACATGTTTTTAATTTGTTCAAAAGTTAGTTTAGAATTTAGACATGTTACAAGTGTCCTGTATGGTAACGTAGGTTCATCACTCATTAGACCTGTGCCATACTTAAAATACATTTTCAGCCCTTATTCTTAGACAATTGCTTCAGTTATAGTGTACATAGGACCTACCAAATATACAAGTCTGTAGATGTAGAAAAAGATGTCAAATCCCCTAAAATCTTAGAAGAAATTCAAAATCCAACAAGTTTTGTGAAAAATAGGTATTTTCTCTTATAAATTATGGCTCCCAGTGTTCTGCCTCTGTTTATTAGAAACTGGAGTAAAGTACCAAAAGCACACACATAATTTCTAAGATCCATCTTGACAGTGAATATTATTTTACTCCTGTCCAAACCTCAACAAGGACAACACATAGGGTAAACTGACTGCCTATGTGTACCAAATCTATACATCTCAGTTTCTTCAATCACTTAGATGGCAGCAACATGATCCAACTTACTGTAGCTTTGATTAATATGTGATCCTGCTACTTGATACTTAGTCTGTGCCACCCTATAAAGTACTTAATTGGAGATATAAAAAATTTCATCAAAATTCAAAATAACGTTAAACAGAATAATAACGTTATACAGAATAATCTTGTGAGTCAAGTCCCATACATTGCATTTTACGTTTGGATTTGAGCTTTCAATCAGTAACGTCTTTTTGGTAAATTCCTTCAGTTTACAATACAACCTGAGGCAATGCAACTGGTGATGTTATGGAGGAAGAGAAAACGACAACAACAACAGCATTGGGTATTTTTATGATGCTTTACAACAAGAAGACAAGGATCTTACATTATAGTTTTTACCTGTGGATTTATATGTGAATCAAATAATCTGGAGAATTAAACACTTCCCATTCATTCTTTGTCTAACTCACTTTTAGCCTGTGGTATTATTACAAATTTT